TCTAATTACATGGTTAGATTCAGCATATCAAAGAACCCCATATATTCAATTTTTGTTGCAATCAAACAAAGTTTAATTTTGGACCCCAACTTGGACAAACTTGAAAACTGGACCCATAATCAAAAATCTAAACACATGTTTAGATTCAGCATATCAAAGAACCCCAAGAATTCAATTTTTGTTAAAATCAAACTAAGTTTAATTTTGGACCCTTTGGACCTCAATGAAGACCAATTTAAAAAACGGGACCCAAATTAAAAATCTAAAAACACGGTTAGATTTGGCATATCATAGAACCCCAATAATTCAATTTCTGATGAAATCAAACAAAGTTTAATTTTGGACCCTTTTGACCTCAATATGAACCAATTTGAAAGCGGGGCCTACAAATAAAAAATCTAAATACATGGTTAGATTCAGCATATCAATGAACCTCATGTATTCAATTTTTGTTGAAATCAAACAAAGTTTAATTTTGGACCCCAATTTGGACCAACTTGAAAACTGGGCCAAAAATCAAAAATCTAAATACATGTTTAGATTCAGCATATCAAAGAACCCCATATATTCAATTTTTGTTGAAATCAAACAAAGTTAAAATACTGGACCCTATCTTGGACCAACTTGAAAACTGGGCCCATAATCAAAAATCTAAACACATGTTTAGATTCAGCATATCAAAGAACCCCAAGAATTCAATTTTTGTTAAAATCAAACTAAGTTTAATTTTGGACCCTTTGGACCCTTTGGACCTTAATGTAGACCAATTTAAAAAACAGGACCCAAAATTAAAAATATAAATACACGGTTAGATTTGGAATATCAAAGAACCCCAATAATTCAATTTTAGATGAAATCAAACAAAGTTTAATTTTGGACCCTTTTGACCTCAATATGAACCAATTTGATAACGGGGTCCACAAATAAAAAATCTAATTACATGGTTAGATTCAGCATATCAAAGAACCCCATATATTCAATTTTTGTTGCAATCAAACAAAGTTTAATTTTGGACCCCAACTTGGACAAACTTGAAAACTGGGCCCATAATCAAAAATCTAAACACATGTTTAGATTCAGCATATCAAAGAACCCCAAGAATTCAATTTTTGTTAAAATCAAACTAAGTTTAATTTTGGACCCTTTGGACCTCAATGAAGACCAATTTAAAAAACGGGACCCAAATTAAAAATCTAAAACACGGTTAGATTTGGCATATCATAGAACCCCTATAATTCAATTTCTGATGAAATCAAACAAAGTTTAATTTTGGACCCTTTTGACCTCAATATGAACCAATTTGAAAGCGGGGCCTACAAATAAAAAATCTAAATACATGGTTAGATTCAGCATATCAATGAACCTCATGTATTCAATTTTTGTTGAAATCAAACAAAGTTTAATTTTGGACCCCAATTTGGACCAACTTGAAAACTGGGCCAAAAATCAAAAATCTAAATACATGTTTAGATTCAGCATATCAAAGAACCCCATATATTCAATTTTTGTTGAAATCAAACAAAGTTAAAATACTGGACCCTATCTTGGACCAACTTGAAAACTGGGCCCATAATCAAAAATCTAAACACATGTTTAGATTCAGCATATCAAAGAACCCCAAGAATTCAATTTTTGTTAAAATCAAACTAAGTTTAATTTTGGACCCTTTGGACCCTTTGGACCTTAATGTAGACCAATTTAAAAAACAGGACCCAAAATTAAAAATATAAATACACGGTTAGATTTGGAATATCAAAGAACCCCAATAATTCAATTTTAGATGAAATCAAACAAAGTTTAATTTTGGACCCTTTTGACCTCAATATGAACCAATTTGATAACGGGGTCCACAAATAAAAAATCTAATTACATGGTTAGATTCAGCATATCAAAGAACCCCATATATTCAATTTTTGTTGAAATCAAACTAAGTTTAATTTTGGACCCCAATTTGGACCAACTTGAAAACTGGGCCAAAAATCAAAAATCTAAATACATGTTTAGATTCAGCATATCAAAGAACCTCATATATTCAATTTTTGGTAAAATCAAACAAAGTTTAATTTTGGACCCTTTGGACCTTCATATGGATTTTTTTGTAAAAAAAAAAAGATGCAACATTTGCAGATATTTTTACTGGTCTTCCTTTATAAATATGCATTTCTTTACACATAATTTAAAAGCAGTGTAAGGGAAGTAACCAAAACGTTGTATTTGGATTACCTCCCTTACACTGTTTTAAATTATCTTTATTGTTCATTAACCATTACTTTATACATAATTTAAAAGCAGTGTAAGGGAGATAATTTCAATGATGTATTTGATTTATCTCCCTTACACTGCTTTAAATTATGTTTTGTACTAAAGTATTTGTCCATTAACCAGGACAACCATGTTTTTCCCCCTTTTTTGCCCCTAATTCCTAAACGGTTTGAGCCATAGCCCCCCAAAGCAAATCCTAACCATCCCTTTGTGGTATGGAAACTTGTAGTATAATTTCAGAGAGATCCATACACCGTTCCACAGTTATTGTCTGGAAACTAGAAAATGCTTATTTTTGGGCCCTTTTTGGCCCCTAATTCCTTAACTGTTGGTACCATAACCCCCATAATCAATCCCAACCTTCCTTTTGTGGTATTTAACCTTATGGTCAAATTTCAAAAAGATCCCTTCACTTAAACTAAAGTTAGAGTGCGAAAACCAATGTGTCTTCGGACGACTACGCCGGACGACGACGCCGGAGACGACGCCAACGTCATACCAATATACGACCACAAATTTTTTTTGCGGTCGTATAATACCTAACCCACCTTAGCCATGTGCGCATGGCTAACTCTTTTTAGTTGGGTTAGTTTTCATCATATATTTCTCATCAATTTTCCAGAATTCAAAATTATTCCAGATTCAAATAATTCCTTGTTGTTTGCATAAAGTTCAGTGGCAAGTATTTCATGCATATTCAGAACAAAAACAAATTAACAATTAACCTGAAAGGCAATGATGAATATGTTCTACACAACCAGGATGAACATGGTGAAGGGCTGGAATTTTAACTTCGACTGTTAAAAAATGAAAACAACATGTTACAAATTTCATGCGTCCGAAACGCTTTTCTGGATGTACCTTCATCAGGAACGCTCAAAGCCGAATCTTAGAAAGCCAAGGATGTATAAGGACCGAAAACGTTGAAGAGCTATAAACCAAAAAGGTTAAATAATGGTATGTTGGATAGGGGCAGAAATTCTGCCTCACACAGGCCACCTGCAAGAGTTGTTGCAAGCATTATTTAACATGCAAATAGCATGGCACTCTCTCAATACACAATGCAAAGGATTTGACATTTCCATTCCATTCCAATGGGACATGGCTGTGTATTTATATATCTCTCACAGCCAAAAACGTATCTACAAAAACATGTGAAAAATAAATACATGTATACCTTAAAATCATTCCATACACCAAATAAAGTTGACCTTTTGCTTATAGTATCAAAGAAACAAACCAAACTGTGAAAACTTAACATTGACTAATGAACCATGAAAATGAGCTCAAGGTCAGATGATTCATGACAGACAGACATGTACATGTACACCTTACAATCATTCCATGCACCAATTACAGTTGACATATTGCTTACAGTATCTAAGACTTAACCAGGAAAACTCAAAATTGACCAATGAACAATGAAAATGAGGTCAAGGTCAGATGATCCCTCCCAGACAGACATGTTAACCCTACAATCATTCCCTACACCAAATAAAGTTGACCAATTACATATAGTATCTGAAAAGAGAACCAACCTACAGAAACTTATTATTGACCAATAAACCACCTAAAGGAGCATTATGAGGTCAAGGAGAAATATTACCTGCAAGACAGACATATACATGTACACCTTACAATCATCACTGTGTTGCATCACCATGGAAAATAGGTACCCCCAAAGCCAAATAACTCTAGAATGGTAAAAGTGACGCCACCAAAATTTAAACTTGATCTGTGTTTAGTGGTAATGAGCATTGTGTATATAAGTTTCATAATATTTGGTTGAGGCAAACTGAAGTTAGAGAACGGAAACCAATTTTGGGACTTACGTACGTACAGACGGACAAGGGTAAAACTTAATGCCTTAATGCCTTAATGCGGGGGCATAAAAACTCTTGCATCCTAATGGCACCTCTGGATTCACCTGCAACAGGAATGCCAAAGCCAAAAACCTGATAGCTGGATGCACAAATACTGAGTTGTGTATCAGAGTAATAGGACCAAGCCGCACCCCTCATAAGCATGGGTTTTGCTGTCCAGACTGGGAGAGGTCTAGGGATGACATTATTCCTATACCAAAGCCAACCCTAGTGGTTTCACGAATCTTGAAATAGGTTTTGCTACAACTGACTGTGATGCAGTGGTAAGTACTATGTTAAATGTTATGTAGCAGTTTAAATTGAAATGATTTTAATGACTTAAAGCTGTAAATTTTTCAGGAATCGACCACGCTACTTTCTATTATCAATTATGAGAAACAAAATGACCATTTCCAGAACCCTTGATTAAGACAATTTTGAGGAACCTGGGGGAAAGCTTTTAAGTTGATATACTTGTCGAAATCTTTGGCAAAGTTCTGACTTCTGTTTCTTGACATTCTTTAAAATTTCTTAAGATTAACTGTTTATAAGTGCCCAAGCGGTACTTTGTCAGCCAGAAACCAAATTGTTACGAATGGACAACAGGCAAACTGTAAAAGAAAATGAACAGATGGACAAACATGAACATCACTATATACCATCCCCTCTTTGAGACCTGGGTATAAAGACAAATAATAAAGCAAGGATTTTTAAAAATAGTTACTTTTATATAAAGCTACTTGTATATAATATAGGAAAATCCTTGGGAATATTATTTGGAAATAGCTACTAATATGGACTTCAACCCCTTTAACAGATAAAACCTGCCTCATGTACCAATGATGCTGTATCAAAGCAATAGTAATAAATACTTACATTAACAAGTTCAACACTCACTGTCTGGATCTTTCTTGTCTTTGTTGTCTCGTACCGTCAACGTTCCGGAAATTATAATTGTAACCGGAAGTTGGACGTGAAACATTTGCGTAATTTTTCTTTCGACCTACAAGTTCTCTGTTTCTGTATATTTTATGGTCACTAATTTTTATGAGTTCATACACAGCGAGTGCTGAAACCTCTATATAAAGATTTCGTCTTAAGGATGCTCCAAGTGTAGCTACAAACGCACAAATCATTGACAGTTCAATGACCTAAAATGGCTACCAAAACAAAGTCTGGTGTAATTTCTATTGCATCAAAACTAAAGAAACCACTACTTATAGCTGTAAGCAAACTAAGATGAAAAATCTAGATTATTCATACATTTATGTATCATTTATATCACTTCCATGAGGAATAAATACCATGTTTATATAATGTAATTTGTAAAAACAATAAACATGAAGGAGTTATCATGGTTATATTTTTAAATCTTTAGTAAACTGTCTAGCAATAGATTATCTCATACCCTTTCTTCTAAATTTAATGATTATAAAATGAACATGATGATTTACCCTCTTAATGCTAAGGTGACATAGATGTTGTTTCAGTTTTAATGCTTAGCCATATAATTTTGTCATTTGGGGGTTTAATGTCGTTTCTTAAAAAGCAATTGATGAACCTTTTAAATCATAACATTGCAACTTAATACACTAGATAATTAATGCTGCATGTCTATAACTATAATCTTAACCATCGGTCATCTTATAAGTTTATATTGAGGCAATGAATGACATAATATCCTTGACATTAGTGTGATGTTATATTACGGCAAAAGTAAATTTAATGTTCTGTCTCTGAAAATGTTGTCTACAGCAAGCTACAACAGAGTTTCGATATATTCATTCGCAAAAAAGACACTTGTGCTGAAGATTAAAACATTGACTTTTAACCCTCTTGCCAATTAAATATGGTATAAGCATAATAAAAGATTTATTTAAAGTTGGGTATACATATAACAATACAACATAGGCTCTGTAGAGCTTTTAACCAACATTCCATGTGTCTGAAAATACAGCATTTGGACATCTATAAAGTCACATGCCCAACTATGACACTATTCATGAAATGACGTTATGTCCTAATAATGTTGCATTAGAGACCCATTGAAGAAAAACATTACACTGTATATTCATGTATAATCTTTAATGTTTTATTTGAAAGAGATACAGTAATGAACAGGTGCTTGCATAAATGAAACATATGGACATATGTGTCCCTCTGGTACAGCTGGTGTGGACACATGTGTTCCTCAGGCAGCAAGAGAGTTAAAGAGCTTATAACACCAGATGATTTTACAAAGATTGGACAAACAAGAATGGGTCACCGCTTTTAACATTGTAACTTGCCAGACTTACTGCCCAACACTTTTTTGACTGCATTTCCGACATACAATAAATATGTCAGACTTTGTGTTGAAAAATGTTTCAAAAATTTCTGCACATTACTAATGTTGGAATAATTATTTTGTATGCCTTTACCCTCTTAGCACAAAACAGACATTTCTGTCCACACCGGACAAAATCCTAAGAGAACACACATATCAATTTTTAAATTAATTAACAGTTATATATTCAATTTAGTAGAACTGGTAATTACCAAAGGAATGTATAAAATACACACTAATTTTGATATTGATAATATGGAACATTGCAAGTGCACTCCTGTCTACAATTCTTGCCAGAATTTTATGAAATATATCATAGGTTTATATCGGCAATGTCTTTGACACTTTCGAAAATAAGTGCTGATGAAATATTTTTAAAAGGTTATGCCCTTGGAAATATTTATTATATGGAAGATTGCCTTGTGAGTGCTCTAATGTATACAGTTCTTGCCAGATTTTTATGAAATTTATATAATTATAGGTAAAGTTTATACATGTATCATCATTGTCGACGTAGAGTTTTGAAAATCAGTGCCAATCAATTTTTTGGAAAAGAGTTATGCCCCTTGGAAATATTAATTATAACGGAAATCACATTGCATTTGCTCTGAAGCCTTCAAAACCATTTCTCAAATATATTTATCATGTTTATAAAAAGTTTTAAATGAAGAAAAAAAAAAGATTTTTTTAGTCATTGTCCTGGTCCGAGGACACAGTTATCGTCCTTTGATTTTCGTTGTCTACAAATATATAGTCCCTAGCGTGGACAGTGAATAACTTGCAAATTTTGTTCTTACACTTTCCAAATTTATTTCTTTATATTTTATACATGAAATATTAAGTATGGAGATGAAATTACAGGTTAAAAAAATTTGTGTGATGAATTTTTATGTAAAGTAGTGATTTGGTCCAGTTAAAAAAGGTCAAAAATTATTATGTCTGAGGCTGTCAAACTGAATTATAGACCCCCTTAACATAGAATTGTCCATATTTTGAGATGGAGCTGGTAGACTTTTCTATAATTTTGATATTATTTGTCCCAAAAGTAGTACACTACACTGTAAAAATATTTTTGAGATAGAGCAGGTGCGATTTTTTTAATTTGAATTTATTGTCTAAAAGAAATGCACTATGAAATAACTGTGTTCTCGGGCCTCCTTGTACCTTTGATAGATAAAATATGTGCAACGCGGTGGGGCATTGGAACTCTGTTCTTTTATTTAATTTTGTATACACCCTTAACTGTTTTTTTTTGTTTACTTACTTGCAAGCTTTTCAGTATTTTTGTAATTTGTGCATGTTATCCATACATGCAACACTTGAATTAGAATGGGTGAAAATAAAAAGCGTATAAACTGTATGATATTATATAAGAAATATCTAAGCGACATCTTGCGAAACAAAAATTTTACGTGAGAACAAAATTAGGCGGAAGAAAAAAATAATAATAATAATAATAATAATCAGAACAAATACAATAGCTCTTTCCACAGAAAAGTGGAAAGACCTAATTAATGCATTTGTTTATTTGATTATTATATTTGTTGTTAAGCATTCTCATTTTCTGATGATATAAACACAAGTATTATTTTTGTCCTGAAATTTGCTATTATATTTCGACTAAATTAGTTTGTAAAAAAGATGTTATACATGTTCACATCTAGTGTTTAAAAAAAACAACCGTGGACGAAATTATGACCAAATGAATTAATTTACTTCAGACCATTCTGACTCTTTCAACACATGGCTTGTTAAAATCCAACCACATATGCCCCCAAAATAATTTTTTGAAAAATGTGTGATAATATGAAATATTCAGAAACAAAAATAGGTGGAGAATATTTATTGCATAACACTGTTCAATATTCTTTTGCAAGATTAAAATAATCTTTCTGCAATTGGTCTTGTTTTTAGTTTCGACATAATAAAAGTTTCTTATTGAGGGAAGACTTTAAATATCGGACAGAAAAAATCGAAAAGATGGATGAATTAATTAGCAATCATTATAAACATGTTAATTGCACAAAGGCAACAGCATTTTCAAGAAATTATCAGTTAACTGTACATTCTAATGCAATTCTTTTAGAACTTTATCTTTCATTGGACAATGACATATATTTTGAAGGGTAGATTCCACTTTCTACCAGTCCATAACTAAGGAAAGCCACCATTTTGAATTGCAAATTTTTTTGGTATGTAATTTCTCAAAAAAATAAACAAAAAAGTCACATTTTGTGCCTCAAAATCTTCTTTTTGTAAAAATATTCAAACCTTTCAGAAGCTTACTCAAAGTATAAATATGTCTATTATTTAGAGTATACCTATGACGTCACATTAATTAGATGCCGAAATTGATTTTTAGATTACACTGTAAAACTGATGTCATCATGAATTCTGATGTGATGTTTCATATCAGCTTAATTTTATTTAAATTTTTGGTTTTGTTACTGTCAATGACTGACAATATGTCTATGTATTACTAAATCATGGACATGCTTTAATTCATTCTGTCTGCCAGGAATTGACAGGAGTAAAAAAAATCTTTATTTAACATGATAGTGTTGTATATTTTGTGAACAGAATAAATAAAAATGACTAAACAATGTCTTGCAATTTCATGTGAAGAGAAAGTAAAAAGGGACTGCAAACAAGTACATGATACATTGTAATTGTTTACTTTTATTTCAGATAAGAGAGTACAATAAAAACTTGACATATAGACAGTACTCCGTTCTTAATAGTGATCTCCGTAACCATAGTGATAGAAATGACCGAAAATTTTCCCTTATTGACAGTAGAGAATATTCAGTTCTTACCCAGGAAAAGAAAGACAAGATAGCCAATGGTCCAGATTTGGGAGAGTTTATACAAAATGGTCTGGAACAACCAGAAAATATTAAAAGGAAGAAAGGAGAACGGTAAACAAACTATACTTATGTACATGTAGCTAGCTTTTATTTTTTAAGGAGATGTTGTACGAATTGTAATTTTTTTTCAGCTTTTAAATTTAAATTGTCCCTTGAAAAAAAGCTGATGTTAAATTCTTAAATTAGAAGTAGTGAAAAAGTAAAAAAAAAACTACTAAATCATGTAAGTTCAATTATTGATTTAGTTTTAACTTAATATAAAAATAAGGAGCTGTGGTATGATTTCCAATGTAACAATAACATATATCCACCAGAGCTGAATTTTTTTTTTTTTTTTTTTATTTGTTTTTCAGTAGTCAGGCTTTTACAATCCCTGTACAACACCACCTGACTATGGTGTTAAGGGGTTTGATATAAGAAACAAAAAATTTAATAATTGACTACATTTTTTTTCTACTGTGAATATATATTATATGAATATCAACATTATAATAAAAAGGGGAAAAGAAAACAATCACACACACATACACTCACTCTTGAACTTGCTTTAACATAACATATATCAACTTGTGTATTGCAAAGAAAAATGTTATCTTTGTAAAGATCTGCTCTTTATAAACTGTAAGTTTCATTTTTTACTTTATATGATTTGAATCAAAAGTAATTGTTACTAATCAGTAAAAATGTAATCTAGAGCTAGAGCTGAAATGACATGGATATAAACAACTATAGATTACTACCATTACATGTATAGTCAGCTTTTAAATGCTCCAACATGACAAAATTTGAAACAATTCAAATGAGTAAACCATCTAACTTCAAGACAAAAGGCTCAAAGTATGGATCAAAGATTAGAATACTCAAAAGTTATTGAAAGCTTGTTCAGAGCCAATATCAAATTATTAATAAATCATGTTTCAGATTAATGTTATTATGTTTCAGATTAATATTTTTATGTTTCAGATTAATGTGACTTTTGTGTCTGAATAAAAGATAGCTATACATTATTCCAAAACTTATAATTTCAGATTAAGGTTACCACCATGGCTGAAAACAAAGATCCCAATTGGTAAAAACTACCACAAGCTTACATCTGACTTGAGACAACTAAACTTACACACTGTAAGTATCAATGTAATGTTAGGGTGTCTAGGTTTAAACCTGACCTCCTGTCATACACAACTGTGATAAGGTGAAAATAGTTTTCTTTCGACTTATACTGTTATTAGTTGAAGATAAAACGGTTATTTCAACCTTTAACTACAGTACTGTTATTCCCATTCTAATGCTTACAAAAAAAAGTATTTTAGAGCTTTTGAAAATGTTTACATTTTAAGATAAAATAAAATTCTGCTAAACTTTTTTTGGGCGTATACGTCAAGCAAAACATGACATGTTACAAATGAAAACACTCAAACTGAAGGTTATTTCTTTAATTGTTTGATTAAGATTTGGATAATATCTCATTAAAGACGTTTTTTGGGTAGTTGTTGTTTTATTTTTGATTATATTGCATTATTTAATGTATGTGTACTCCAGCAATTGAATATGGCACTCAAGACATGTCAATTGAAGATTTGACAGTAAATTTTTTTACATAAAGATTGCATTAGAATTAGTAATTTACATTCAGTCTCTTTTGTAGAAAGAAAGAACTTATTGATATTCTCTTGAAACTGTTTTATTGTCTTGATTGTTGTGGTATTGAAGTTCCAGTAATGACTGAAATAATGGATTAATGTTTTGTTTTAGGTTTGTGAAGAAGCAAAATGTCCCAATATTGGTGAATGTTGGGGAGGCGGTGACAATGGCACTGCCACAGCTACTATAATGGTATACTATATTAGTGTTATCATTTGAGATGAACAAGATTTGTTGATAGTAGTTTGTTTAAGTACCTTATAACAATAAACAATGTTTTTAGGTTCACTATGTCAAGGCTCTTCCATGTTACAGAAGATGTGGTATGGTTACCAATGAGACAACTATCCACCAGGAGATGTGGTATGGTTACCAATGAGACAACTATCCACCAGAGACCAAATGAAGTAGAAAATATGAAAACAACACTTTATCAATTTCCTGCGTCCAAAGCGCTTTTCTGGATTTACCATCATCAGGAACGCTCAAAGCCCAATAATAGAAAGCCAAGAATGTAGAAGTTAGCAACTATACCGTAGGTTACCATACTGCCTTAAGCAATGAGCAAAACTCATACTGCATAGCAAGCTATAAAAAGCCCCAAAATGACCAATGTAAAAGAATTTAAACAAGAAAACTAACAGCCTGATTTATGTATAAAACAATAAACGAAAAACAAATTAGATGTATAGCAACAAACTACAACCTTTGATTACAGGCTCCTGACTTGGAACAGACACCCCCCCCCCCCCTAACCTTAGAAATGGTGTAACAGCAAAACATGTGCACAAACTATAAAGATCAGTTGAAAAGGCATAACTCATCAGATCAATTCAAATCACAAAATCAATTAACATAAACACAAAAGCCACAAAGTTCAGATCTGAGAGTACTTGCAGTTGATGAAAGCTAGCTCAAAGCCAATAACAACTGATAAAAAATCATGTAATTAAGACTCAAAATATCAATCAGTACACATCCAAGTGTTCACCATTGTATGTTCAAATAACACCAAGGGATTTGAAACAGTGAAGTTTTTATTTCTCAAGCAAATTTTTGTGATAATGTAGATTTTTTATTTTTTATATTGTTGTTTGAAACTTTCTTTATTAGGAAATGTATGTTCTTATGTTACTCAAAACTGTGACTTGATTGTAAGTGTTGCTGTCCACATATTGCATTTCATTCAAAATTCTTACCAAATAGCAATTTGTTTCATCAAATAAAACTCTTCAATTGAGATATTAGTGATTGACAGTAAATGGTCATTTAGTCATTTCTCTTTTCGTTATTACACTTATTTTTAAGTTTTCATTATGTAAGATATTGATTTTCTAATACTTTTATTGTTAGGTATTAGGTGATACCTGTACGAGAGGATGTCGTTTCTGTTCTGTAAAGACAGCCAAGAGTCCACCCCCTCCTGATCCAATGGAGCCAGTCAACACAGCAAAGGCTATAGTGTCATGGGGACTGGATTATGTTGTCTTAACATCTGTAGATAGAGATGGTTGGTATATATATATATATAAGGCTATAGTGTCATGGGGACTGGATTATGTTGTCTTAACATCTGTAGATAGAGATGGTTGGTATATATATATATATATAAGGCTAAAGTGTCATGGGGACTGGATTATGTTGTCTTAACATCTGTAGATAGAGATGGTTGGTATATATATATAAGGCTATAGTGTCATGGGGACTGGATTATGTTGTCTTAACATCTGTAGATAGAGATGGTGGGTATATATATATAAGGCTAAAGTGTCATGGGGACTGGATTATGTTGTCTTAACATCTGTAGATAGAGATGGTTGGTATATATATATAAGGCTATAGTGTCATGGGGACTGGATTATGTTGTCTTAACATCTGTAGATAGAGATGGTGGGTATATATATATATATAAGGCTATAGTGTCATGGGGACTGGATTATGTTGTCTTAACATCTGTAGATAGAGATGGTGGGTATATATATATAAGGCTATAGTGTCATGGGGACTGGATTATGTTGTCTTAACATCTGTAGATAGAGATGGTGGGTATATATATATAAGGCTATAGTGTCATGGGGACTGGATTATGTTGTCTTAACATCTGTAGATAGAGATGGTGGGTATATATATATAAGGCTATAGTGTCATGGGGACTGGATTATGTTGTCTTAACATCTGTAGATAGAGATGGTGGGTATATATATATATAAGGCTATAGTGTCATGGGGACTGGATTATGTTGTCTTAACATCTGTAGATAGAGATGGTGGGTATATATATATAAGGCTATAGTGTCATGGGGACTGGATTATGTTGTCTTAACATCTGTAGATAGAGATGGTTGGTATATATATATATATAAGGCTATAGTGTCATGGGGACTGGATTATGTTGTCTTAACATCTGTAGATAGAGATGGTGGGTATATATATATAAGGCTATAGTGTCATGGGGACTGGATTATGTTGTCTTATTATCTGTAGATAGAGATGGTGGGTATATATATATATAAGGCTATAGTGTCATGGGGACTGGATTATGTTGTAGATAGAGATGGTTGGTATACAGTCAATACTATGTAGTTATTTTTAAGAGCAGTATTTTGAATAATATAAACAAAAAGATTTAACATCAATGAGACAGCAATAAAACAACATAAGTAAAAATCATCATCAATAAAAGTCCCAAACAAAATGGCTAGAAGTCACCAGAGTCTATAAAGAAATCAGAGACACAAAGCAAAAATTCATAAATAGATAAAAACATGAGAATGCAGGTATAATTGTATCAGATCAAAATCATTAATATTTATATATTATCATATGTAAATGTTCTAAGTCGGAGGCCGATCCAGAACTTTTTATTAGGGGGCCTACTGACTGCCATAAGAGGGGGCCCGCTACAGTCATGCTTCAGTGATTCCCTATATAATTAACCAAAATTTTCCACGAAGGCGGGGGAGAGGGGGGGGCCTGGCCCCCTGGATCCGCCTATGTAAGTATGTAGCAGCAAATAATTGCAACGTTAAAAAAGAATGATAAGAAGACATTTGTTTAAAGAGAACTTCTGGGTTTTGTCTGTTACTGGAAAGAATCTTTGATTGCTGGATTTTTTAACGGCATAAACCAGTTACTGTATCCCTGTAAGAGTTGTTTAAGGATGATTTATACATTTAACGTCATAAACCAGTTACTGTATTCCTGTAAGAGTTGTTTAAGGATGATTTATACATTTAACGTCATAAACCAGTTACTGTATTCCTGTAAGAGTTGTTTAAGGATGATTTATACATTTAACGTCATAAACCAGTTACTGTATCCCTGTAAGAGTTGTTTAAGGTTGATTTATACATTTAACGTCATAAACCAGTTACTGTATCCCTTTAAGAGTTGTTTAAGGATGATTTATACATTTAACGGCATAAACCAGTTACTGTATCCCTTTAAGAGTTGTTTAAGGATGATTTATACATTTAACGGCATAATCCAGTTACTGTATCCCTGTAAGAGTTGTTTAAGGATGATTTATACATTTAACGTCATAAACCAGTTACTGTATCCCTGTAAGAGTTGTTTAAGGATGATTTATACATTTAACGTCATAAACCAGTTACTGTATCCCTGTAAGAGTTGTTTAAGGATGATTTATACATTTAACGTCATAAACCAGTTACTGTATCCCTGTAAGAGTTGTTTAAGGATGATTTATACATTTAACGTCATAAACCAGTTACTGTATCCCTGTAAGAGTTGTTTAAGGATGATTTATACACTTAACGGCATAAACCAGTTACTGTATCCCTGTAAGAGTTGTTTAAGGATGATTTATACACTTAACGTCATAAACCAGTTACTGTATCCCTGTAAGAGTTGTTTAAGGATGATTTATACACTTAACGGCATAAACTAGTTACTGTATCCCTGTAAGAGTTGTTTAAGGATGATTTATACAGGAAATGTGCAGAGTTATCCAATCATCATTACCACAATATCTTATTCTATTATTAATGGTATATGCCAAAGAATGCATTATACAGCTTATTTTGTTGTCTATTCATAAATTTTGAGAACACTTTTTGCTGTACGTTTACCAGAAGTATAAAAGTTGAACTTTGTTTTCTCTCAATCAAGTAGTTTAACACGATCAACCCTATTCCAACCTGATCCGAAAGTTTTTAGACAGTGATTTGTGTTATACAGGAGTCCATTAAAGCAAGTTTGATTGATTTATATTATTTAATTGTTCATGATTTGTCTCCCTTTACAGATATGCCTGATGGTGGTGCATCACATTTTGCAGAAACAGTCAAAGAATTAAAGAAAAGGTATGGTGACCTATTGTTTATAAGATATATAGTCAGACATCGTCAAAATATGTAATGTTTACCTAATGTTCATCTCTTGTATTTTATTTTGACTAAATAACGGAGCACAAATAAAATAATCAAGCTTTTTAATGTTCAAGTGTACTTTTATAAGTGCAGATGTCGTAAGGTTGTGTTTTTAAAAGTCATATGCTAATGTCTCTGGCCTTCTTTTACTTTAGGGTTGGTGTTAATTTATGGTTATGTTTGATTGGGGATGTTCTAGGTTAAGGTTAGATTTAAGGGTTAGGGCTAATGTTAGGGTTAGGGTAAGGTTTAGAGTAAAGAATAGTTTAGTATAGGTCTATATGAGTTGGGACCCTTAAAGTAAAAGAAGGCCACATTTCCATGCTATCCCAAGTATTTTTAGTTAAAAGCTATTTAAATTAGAAACATATGTATTTGTATTACTTTGATAAGAATCCTTTTTGGTTATTCATGCATTGTAAAACAGTTGCATACAATTTTTAAGTAAATTCTTCTGACTTATGAAATGGTAGGTCAGTGATATCTTTAATACACAAGCACTACCATGTTACGTAGCATAACAAAGTGAAGGAAATGGCAAAGCTTCTTCAGATAAATCTTCTGCATCAATCCATTCATAGAGAAAGCAAAGGAAAATTTTAGGCCTTGAATTTCAATTTTTATGTTTCAGACAACCTTCCATACTTGTAGAATGTTTAACAGCAGACTTAAGAGGAGATTTGCAATGTTTGATTTATGTTTCAGACAGCCCTCCATACTTGTAGAATGTTTTACACCAGACTTTAGAGAAGATTTACACTGTTTGTTTAATTTATGTTTCAGACAGCCCTCCATACTTGTAGAATGTTTTAACGCCAGACTTTGGACGAGATTTACAATGTTTGTTTTATGTTTCAGACAGCCCTCTATACTTGTAGAATGTTTAACACCAGACTTTAGAGGAGATTTACAATGTTTGTTTTATGTTTCAGACAGCCCACCATACTTGTAGAATGTTTAACATCTGACTTCAGAGGAGATTTACACAGTTTGTTTTATGTTTCAGACAGCCCTCCATACTTGTAGAATGTTTAACGCCAGACTTTAGAGGAGATTTACAATGCTTGTTTTATGTTTCAGACAGCCCTCCATACTTGTAGAATGTTTAACGCCAGATTTTAGAGGAGATTTACACTGTTAGTTTTATGTTTCAGACAGCCCTCCATACTTGTAGAATGTTTAACACAAGACTTTAGAGGAGATTTACACTGTTAGTTTTATGTTTCAGACAGCCCTCCATACTTGTAGAATGTTTTAACACCAGACTTTAGAGGAGATTTACAATGTTTGTTTTATGTTTCAGACAGCCCTCCATACTGGTAGAATGTTTAACAGGATATTTACACTGTTTGTTTTATGTTTCAGACAGCCCTCCATACTTGTAGAATGTTTAACACCAGACTTTAGAGGAGATTTACAATGTTTGTTTTATGTTTCAGACAGCCCTCCATACTTGTAGAATGTTTAACACCAGACTTTAGAGGAGATTTACACTGTTTGTTTTATGTTTCATACAGCCCTCCATACTTGTAGAATGTTTAACACCAGACTTTAGAGGAGATTTACACTGTTTGTTTTATGTTTCAGACAGCCCTCCATACTTGTAGAATGTTAAACAGGATATTTACACTGTTTGTTTTATGTTTCAGACAGCCCTCCATACTTGTAGAATGTTTAACGCCAGACTTTAGAGGAGATTTACAATGTGTAGAGACGATAACAGATTCTGGATTAGATGTTTATGCTCATAATATAGAAACTATTGAAGAACTGCAATGGTAAAGATATAAACTGTTAGACGTAAAGTAAGCCATGTTAAGGATTTCCCAAGACTGACTACATTTATATGGAATTGTACATAATGAGTTTCGTATAGGAACCAGCTCAAATACTGGTTTATATAATATTGTGATACTCCCATTCTTAGAGTTCTACTGAACTGAATGACTTCAAGTTTGTTCAGCAGCTCAACTGTGATAAGTTGTAACCTGTGAGAACTTTGCGCATCTGTTAGACATCTCTTTCTGTTTTCCAATATTTTGAATTATAAGTGGGGTTAAGCCTAGCAATAAAATGTGAATTGTTATTGTATTATCTGTTGCTGGTATTCCATTACATCAGATTATTATTTTAATTATATTGATTAATTAAGCGGATACCATTTCTTGATTGGCGTTGAACTCTGACAGTCGATTCCAACATTCCTGTTGACTGGACATTTTCATGTAGGCACTGCTAATACTCGACGCTGTAAAGAAATATGTTCCTTGTTAAATTTTATTGGAAGATACGGTTTGTTTCAAAGCTTAAACATTGACAAATAAAAATATCTCGGTAAAAAAAGTGAAATTCTTTCCTAATCTTGTAAAATTTTCGACTCAGACTTTTGTTATTGAAATTGCAAGGTCACAGAACCAGAATGTGAAATTTGACTGTTAAAAGAGAAACAGTCTTCAAAACACTTCACAGAAAACTAAGCATTGAGCAACTTTAAGCATAAAAAAATCAAGACAACTTAGGGTGTCCTGAAGGTTGACAGTTCACAGAAGTTAAAAAATGTGGTTTAAGTCAATCTCCAAAATGTAAATAATTATATAAAGATGCAGAATTATAGGCTAAATAAAAAAAAAATCTGAAATAAATCTGAGATTCCCATCCATATTCAAACGTTAAGAAAAATCATGTATATTTCTAAACAGAAAGTATGGGTAAAGATAAACAGATAATTATAGATTGGTTGATTGATTGATTGGTGTTTAATGCCACTTTCAACACTATTGTGCTATTTCTTGGTGGTCAGTTTTTTATTGGTGGAGGAAACCGGAGTGCCTGGAGAGAACCACTGACCTTCCGTAGGAAAATTGACAATCCTAGTCAATTAAGATTGGAGTAGAGAGCACCTTGCATGTGCGGGATTCGAACACACAACCTCAGTGTTGACTGGCTAGTGATGCAGTAGACTTAGACCACTCTACCACCAAGGCCCCGATATATTTAGATAATATGATGGGGATAAAATCTAGGAATTTGTTTAATTTGGCCTAAGCTAAATAACTATGTGCATTCTTATAGGTTGGTTCGAGATCCCAGGGCTAATTACAAGCAATCAATGGGTGTGTTAAAACATGTGAAGAAGTACAAACCTGACATGGTGACAAAAACTTCTATAATGGTGGGTCTTGGAGAAACTGAGGAGCAGATATATAGAACTATGGAAGGTAAGAAATATGAGCGTTCTGTGTTTCCGTGATTCAATAACGGAACATGGACATTTATATGTTATTCAAAGGAATTGGTTTTATAATTCTGCTTCTCATTAGGATCAGATCTTGTCTTAGATAAACCCATTTTGTCTTGCATGTAACAAAATTCACAGGATATTGTGAGAAAATACCAAACTTTACAGATGACATATGTAGGAACTATTTTGCAGATACCTTTTTATATTATAATCACTTTCACAAAGGTCAACCAAAATTTATTTGGAAGTTGTTTGTGACTTATATAAAAATAAGGAGATGTGGTATGAATGCAAATGAGACAACTATCCACCCAAGTTCAAATGAAGTGGATGAAAGCAATTATAGGCAACCGTGCGGCCATCAATAATGAGAAAAACCCATACTGTATAGTCGGCTAGACTTTTTTGTCAAGTAACCATGACCTTATTTTTTTGCTTATGTTATCATATTGAAGTTATAGGGTCTGTATTATTCTCCAATATTAATTATAGATCTGTCTAAAATATATTGTAATAGGTTTTCAAGTACTTATCTCTTCTCTTTCTTTAGCTCACCTGGGCCAATAAGGCTATGAGAGCTACAGCCATCACTGAGCTAATTACAATCAAACTTTGTGGTCAATGATCCTTAGGGTACCTAGTATAAAGTTTGTGGGTTTTTTCAGCCAGTCAACAAACATGGCCCCATGGCTATAAATAAAACGAAATTAGAATGGAAACGGGAATGTGTCAAAGAGACAATAACCCAACCAGCAGAAAACAGCTCAAGGCCACCAAAGGGTCTTTAACACAGCGAGAAAATCCCGCACCCGTAGGTGGGCTTTAGCTGGCCCCTAAAAAAATGTATACTAGTTCAGAGAAAATGGATGTCACACTAAACTCCGAAACATATAAATGAACCAAAATAAAAAAACATACAAGACTAACAAAGGCCAGAGGTTCCTGACTTTGGACATGTTTTGTGAGATCTCAACCCTCCACCCTATACCTCTAGCCAATGTAGAATAAACAAACAGACAGCAATATGCACAATAAAACTCAGTTTAAAAGAAGTCATAGAAACATAGATTAGAATGTATTATTTGTTTATATCTTGAAATCCATTCTAGATAGAGGAAAAATTGACTGGTGAAAATGCATAGAATGTCAAGACCTACCTACGTCCTATTTTCACCAAACAATCTTTTGCATTTAACCAATTTATTTTGGGCAAAAATGCAAGTGAGCGACATAGGCTCCTCGGATCCACTTGCTGATCTGAATCATTTACAAAGAAGAACTTAAATACTATTTATGGTAATGTATAAATTTTGTATTTCAGACTTGAGAAAGATAGATGTTGATTGTTTAACTTTAGGACAGTATATGCAGCCTACAAAAAGACACCTTAAGGTAACCTCACAGCAGAATTAGGTTTTTAATGTAGGATGGATAGAATGAAGTGGGAGGTATCCTCACAGCAGAATTAGGTTATTTATGTGGGATGGATACAATGAAGTGGGAGGTATCCTCACAGCAGTATTAGGTTATTTATGTGGGATGGATACAATGAAGTGGGAGGTATCCTCACAGCAGAATTAGGTTATTTATGTGGGATGGATACAATGAAGTGGGAGGAGAAAAGTACATAGGGTTATAGGGAGTGGGAGAAAGTGGAGAGAAATTGGGAATAATATATTCTTAATCAAGGAGACAGAATATCATAATCCTTATTAGGGATTGTAGTAACATACTCCTTAATCCACACTGTCATTGTAGCATAGCAAAAAAATAGAACACAATAAGAGAGTAATTAAAATTCATAAATTAAAGAAGGTCAGTGAATGCCAGGGTAAAAATAAACTAGACAAAATACAATAGTCCACATTACATCTAGGAGAAAATTTTAGATTGAGCAAAAAGAACCAGTCAACACTGATAGGATAGGCAGCTCCTTTGTAGTAACACACCTACCATAATATATCTCATCTAATGAATTCAAAATCCCAATGAACAAATAATATTCCTGAAACCATGTATTTAGATTCTGGTGAACAAGTGATTCCCAAAAAAGTGAGTAAGTTTTTTCAATAATTTTTGTATTTAATTTTAACTATCAGCACAATAACGAAAACAATTTTATTCTGTACTATAGGTGAAGGAATATGTTCACCCAGATAGATTTAAAAGGTGGGAAGAAATGGGTAATAAAATGGGGTTCCTATATACAGCAAGTGGACCTCTAGTTAGATCGTCATATAAAGCAGGTATGTATACACTGATTTACTCAACTTAGTTTAACAAAAAATGAGTCATCTGGAAATAACATTATAGCTGGATAGTTGAAAATTAAAAACCTTATTAATTTACTGATGTTACACTTAAACTTTGCTTCAACTGAAAACTTTTTTTTACAAAGCAAACAAAAAATGTGATTAGAAATGATATATTAAATACATTTTTTTCATTTTTGGTCAATATACAGGACAAAAACAGTCCCTAAATGTATAATCTTTGTTTATGAAACTCCTGAGTGAACAATATACAACATAAAGCAAGTTAAATTCTCCCTCACCCCTACTCTAAATTCAATTGGCTATAAACAACACAGAAATCGGATTATTTGCTCGCAGTAACATATAAAATAATTGTAGTTTTTTACCATTCAAAAACATATAAATACATGTATTAAAAGTAGCAGCAAATGTATATATACTAATGTGACTAACTTCTATTCGACGTAACTGCCACCTCCTTTAATAATGATACGTTTAAATGCCAAACTTTATATAGTACTATAAAACCCAACTGTAGAAATCGCCAAACCTTTTCTCATGCCATATGCACTTAACATCAAACTTTATAAATAGTACTAGTACTTGCAAGTGAATAATTCATCAGCGATGTTTCTTAGCTTATTTTGACAAAATTTAACCAAACTGGCTCCTAAAAGCGAATTATTATTTCACTATTTCACTTTCATTAATGATTGAACAATAAAAATCATATTTTATTTTTTTGTTTTATCTCGTAGCTAATGCCCCTTTAATGAAGAATATGTTTATTTCTATATTTCAGGTGAATTTTTCTTGACAAATATAGTTAAAAATAGACAGAAGACAGAGAAAGAAGAAACAAAGATGCAATGCTAATGAAAGATGACTTTAATTTTAACTTAGTTCCTAATGACAATAAATTTCTCAGTACATTACGGGCAGGTTAAAATGTAGCTTCCAATACCATCCTTCATCTTCTCAAATCTCCAAAGTCTGGGAATCAATTTTATTATGAAAAAAAAAATGTTTTGCCTTGTCAAAGCTGTTGATTCTTGAATAGCTAAATAATTGTTTTTATGGTTATAAAACAGAAATGTGATATTTATATCATTAAAGATTTGTACTGTTAATGGGTTATCAATGGTACTGTATTGTTATTTTCAGTCTGTTTGAATTATAGACTGATATTTATTAAATATGTTTATGGAAAGATTATTTTATTATTTGCAGTCTGTTTGAATTTTGTGTAGACTAATATTTTTTAAATACGTTAAAAAGATAATTTCATTTAGAATAATGAAGTATCAATCAAAAAAATTCATTAAGCTAAATGAAAAGAAGGGGTTAGTTTTACAGATCTGAAAAATTCAAGTGTGTCAACCCTACTGGAAATTCTGAAATTTTTGTGATGTTTTTATTTTGTTGTTGAAAATTGTGATAGTATAGGTTTGGCAAAAATAAAAACTTGTATATTTGATTTTTATAGCTTTATTTGTATGCACCATTATCTGAAATCACAATAATCAATTTCACATTTTTGTGCCTTGCTCAACAATGGCAATAATAAATGCCAAACTAATTCCTGAATTTAGAGTATATGTTAAGTGCACCGAAGGGAAAACTATCTACCATGGACACGTGCTCTTTATAAAAAAGTATATGGAGACATAATTTTTGAATCGTTTCTCTTTTATTTTGTATCTTCATAAAATTGATTTAATATGCATTTTATTATGTATGTTTTCATGTTTTGTTTTACAAATGGTAATCTCTTTTGTATTTAATGTTATTGAATGTATAATAAAATATTATAACATGATTAACTAATTACTGGCTTTGATATTTGGTTAGTGAAGGAAGAAAAAGTCAAAAGTACAGTAAATTCAGAAAGTGTTGTTATATTTTTATTATTACGGAAATTACAATGGGACAGAAGTCTGTAATTCAGTGGTTGTCGTTTGTTGCTGTGTATCATATTTGTTATTCGTTTATTATTTTGTACATAAATCAGGCCGTTAGTTTTCTCGTAAGTTTTACATTTGTCATTTCGGGGCCTTTTATAGCCGACTATAAGGTATGGGTTTTTCTCATTGTTGAAGGTCGTACGATGACCTATAGTTGTTAATTTCTGTGTCATTTGGTCTTTTGTGGAGAGTTGTCTCGTTGGCAATTATACCACATCTTCTTATTTTTTTATATGTTCTCTTACTACATATAAAATATTTGATATATGACCATTTTACAAGATGCCAAATTACAGGGGAATATAATACACATTAAATCAAAGTAATATCTACTTTTTTGGCTGTTTTCAATGGGATCTTCTTTCTAATGTAAACTTGTGAATTTTTTCGTGCCATCTTTTTTTGTTTGTGCAATTTTCCCCAAAAAATCTAAATTCTCACAGTTTTGAATTTGCGAAATATCCTGGTGCTGCATATTGGTTTCTCATAAACGATTTGAAATTGTACAGTTTTACATGTATCATAATCAAGTGATAAAATCAATCAGAAATCCTTTTGGTCAGTTCTTTAATGTTAATGTAGATTTAAAGTTATTAGTCATGTTTCCTTGTAAAAACACTTACACAATAAACAGAGAAAATGACATAATTAAGAGTGAATTAAGGATGTTTGCTACTCTGTTTCAAAATAACAAGCTTTTTACAAGACTGTTATAAATTGATAGTATATAAATAAAGGAACTAAAAAAGCAGGAAAAAATGAAGGGTCCGTGTGCTTGTTTTCGAGATATAAGCCGTTGAAAATTTGGCGGGAAATGATTCTCTCTAGACTTTTCATACAGTTAACATTGGCACCTTTTTCCCTTAAAAAACGATGAAAAAATAACAAGGATTTTATAAGATTTTCAAAGATGACATTTTAAACTATATGTAATGAAATTATGGAAAGAAAATTAGGGGTTAGTGGGCAAAATTTTAAATGGCACTACATGGATAAAACCAGAGGATTCCGAATACCTGGCAAAAATTCAAAGACAAGAGGAGCGAACATCCTTAAATGCTGAAAGGATTACTGCTGTTAATTAATCAATTGTTTGATCTGATTGATCTATATAGCAGATACAATGAGGTAATCTATTTAATGTTAGATTATCAAGAGTCAAAAAGAGAGACATAGGTAGGCTGCTTCTGGCTGAGGCGGCGTCAACACTGTATGTGATAAGGTCAGTTTATGGGGAACTAATAGTGATAGGTTAATGATATATGGTATGCAGTTGTATTAGCATTAGCACATCTTATTTCCATGGAGATTATTTAGCCCTGTACCTTCAGTCATGGTTCATTGACTTAATTATTTTGCATAACTTACATGTTAAAAGTATTGCTATTTTAATTTCAAAATTTGCATTTTACTATCAAAATAACAAAAAAGCGAGATATATCACCGTGTTAACAGTTTAATTATTATTTCAATTGAATTTATCTCGTCGAAAGTTTAATGAACTTTTATGACAGTTATCCTTAACAGATTTTTGTTACAAACTACCATGGATATGTTCCATATGCATGATATGATGTAGCCACAGTTCCGCCATCCTTTCCACATTTATGACTTATCATCAGAAGTCTACTTCACAGGGTGCCACTAGATGAGATGGAGCCTCTAAGTTCGCCCCATGATTCATGGTGCCTGATCTTTTCTAGAATTCTTTCTCAGTTAATGACTGGTTTTAAGACAATTGCAAAATTTTTACGGTCGTATGATGTTATGTCGTCAGCGTTGTCCAAAGACATTTGGTTTCCAGACAATAACATGAGAATAAGTGTATGGATCTCTATAAAATTGTACCACAAGTTTCAATACTTTAAAAGGAAGGTTTAGGCCCAAACTGTTTAGGAATTGGAGGCCAAAAAGCGGCAAAAAAAACCCTATTTTCTGGTTTCTGGACAATAACTTGAATATCAGTCTTTGGATCTCTATGCAATTGTACCACAAGGTTCCATACGAAAAAAGGAAGGTTGGGATTGATTTTGGAGGTTATGGCCCTAACCTTTTAGACAAACAGGGCCGAAAACAATACTTTTCTAATACTTTGTATAAATTGCTTATTTCTTGACCAATTTCAATGTAGTTTAATTCAAAGTTTTGAATTCTTGTTTTTTTTTAATATGCTAGCTCTAACTGTGTATTTAGATTTTTGATCTTGGGTGCAGTTTTTCTTTGGGTTCTTTGATATGCTGATTCTAACCATGTATTTAGATTTTAGATATTGGACCATAATAGGTTAAAGACCAATTTCAAATTTTTCAGTTCTTTGACCACATTCATTCTGTATCAAAAACCTTTGCTGTGTCAAATATTTATCACAATCCAAATTCAGAGCTGTCAGGGTTCGACCATGCACTGCAGTCTTATCAAGCTGCACCCAGCAAAGCATTTTATTACATTGGACATGGTATCTGTCCTCTATTGACTATTCTTTTTTACTTGTCCCTATAATATAATATAAACGTATGATTGTTATTTGATTGGATATCAACACACTGCTGTAAGGTATCTCACCACCATCGAGCAAGTGTCCATAGAATACAACAAATAAGGTTGCAGTTGGCTTTGATAACATTCATTGATTAAACCAATTCCCCATATTTTACGGGTATTGAAAAACAATGCTCTTTCATTATTGGGTTTCTTTACTTGATGCTTACATATTTCTGATGGTATTAAGCCAACTAAGGGAGCTACCATTAGATTTTTATGGGGGGGGCTAGGATGAAAAATTTTGTCCTGCATTTTTTTTTAGTTGTAATCTCTGTCCTGCCTTTTTATTTTTCACTCTATTCGGTCCTGCCTTTTCTTATTAGTTTATGCTGACTTTTTTTACATAAATTGTCATCCTGCCTTTTTTTTTTTTTTGCCAAGTTGCTCATCCTGCCTTTTTTTTTTACTCAAACTCCTGTCCTGCCTTTTTTTCAAATTTCATTCTAGCTCCAGGCAACTCAACTATATGGCATCTGGTATTGAATCTGAATAAAGGCTGTTATTCAGTTACCTGAATGCATTAGAGTAGGCTTTCTAGCAATGATGCGAAACACATTTACTGAAGTCTATAAATAAAGGCAACAGTAGTATACCGCTGTTCGAAAGTCATAAATCGACTGAGACAAAAACAAATCCGGGTTACAAACTAAAAACCGAGGAAACACATCAACTATAAGAGGAAAACAACGAAACAACAGAAACACTGAAGTGAACAAAAAACAAACGACAATGCAACACACACAGAAACGAACTATAAGATAACAACTGCCATTTTCCTGACTTGGTACAGGACATTTTAAGAAAAAAATGGTGGGTTGAACCTGGTTTTCTGGCTAGCCAAACCTCGCACTTTTATGGCAATGTTAAATATAACACTAAAATGACACCATTACATGACAGGAATACAGTTCAAATAAATGCAAGAACATTCAGGACAGAGAAATACACAAATAAACAATACAATAGTACATTTCGAAATGCTAACCACAGAATAAAAACGAACACGTAAAACAACATAGGACAGCACACAAAAACAGCACAACAGAACCACGAACTGTCTTTTACACGACTGGATCAACGCCACAAAAGTAACGTCACAGGTAAATTTCTAAAAAAAAATTGATACTGTTCAAGATCAGGGTTGTAACTATGTCATTTGATGTATTTTATAACAATTACAAGAAATTAATATACGGAATTGTGTTAGTAATTAGATAATTAATTGTATTATCTAGCTATGTCGGTATTATTTCTAAATCAAATTGTAAAACAAATAAATAGTGTACATATAGTTGCTTTAAACTAAAATCTTAGAAATGAACTGGGTGATTAATTATCTTTACTTTTACATACTTTTATAACCTCTCCTTTCTTAGTTACTTCACGATTTGCATTTTGCGAGCAGTTAAGGTTCCTGAATTCTGGAAAAGCGCGAGATCATCTAGAGAAATCATCAACTAATATTTTATTACTAAATTACTTACTGACATTCCATATATCACGGGAAGCACTTGCAAGCTATGCGACAGACAATTTCTATACTATACATGCTTTTGATGATTTTTTTTCTTTCCCTATTTTTACCTTGGCGTTGCCAGTTTATTTTCGACTTATGAGTTTGAATGTCCGTTTGGTATCTTTCGCCTTTCTTTTTCCATTGCTTTTAATAGATACAAGGTGTCGTTAACTAAATACGGCTCCCTTTCCAGGCGGCTGTGTGTAACACGGGAGGGTTTACCGATGTTTATATCCGTAGTGTGTTGATAACAGCTAGCTGTGCTGAACTTCTTGATTGGTGGTAACTGACGAAACTTTTATTGTGACTATTTTGGCGTTACAGGACGATTGTTGTGGTATGATTTATGATCAATGATTTTACAGTATAGATTTACAGATGCAGAATATGAAACAAGACTTTCAGCAAATTTTGCATATTGTATAGTTACATCGGTTAATTTGCAAGTATTCTAAACTGTAAAGGTTTCACATTTTTTTTATGTTTTTCGTTATCTCTATTTATCCTGAAAATATTCAAATCCAAATGTAATGTTGATAGCTATAAAATATTAGTCTATACCAGTAATCTAGTATACTTACTTTGAGGGAGCGCATACACCTTCTTCTTGCTTCAGGTATTCATGACGCAAAAATCAACACACAGTCTGTGTGGTACTAAGTTGGTTTAAATTGCAATGATATGGGAATTTGTTTGTGGTTCCAGCTTTGTCTGACTTATGCATGTTATGACTAGATGTGTTTCCACCACCTCATACATGAATAACTGATACAGTGTTTCCTGGAGGATGTCCAATTT